AATACAAAGGATTAAGATATTATTATTCTTTCACAAACAATTATTTTTAATATTAGGATAGTTCTTTCTCGAAGTTGTTTGCCTGCTTCGAGAATAGTACACACATGCAAGGCTTTTATATACCGAGCAAAAAACTGTAAGAGTTTCAACTCTGATAATCGTTTATCAAAGGGCATTGAAGGTCGATCGCGAATATTACTACATTTTAAATTCTGTGTTAAATTCACATTTAGTTTGGGCGTGTCCGGGTGGAAGTAAAGAGTGATATCGTGTGTTTTATTCGTTATTAATAGTAATTTAAAAATTGTTTTAATGGTAAGTAATGCTTCTATTTAATAATTCATTTTTTATTAAGTGCATACATACGAAGGTAGTTTGAATAAGATTTTCATTTGTTTGTACTTTTCATTTGTTTGTAGTTTTCATTTATTTGTATTTTTCATTTGTTTGTACTTTTCATTTATTTGTATTTTTCATTTGTTTGTACTTTTCATTTATTTGTATTTTTCATTTGTTTGTACTTTTCATATGTATTGTTAGATTTCTTGGGTATCGTTAAAGTAATATTAAAAAGTATTTACTGTATGTTTTTAATTTGCATTTCAAATAAATCACAAACATTTTTGATCATTCTAGAGAAGAATGGAGGGGATACCATCACCACCTCGGACGATTCTATAGTCTACAATCAAGTAAAAAGATTAAGGTAGGATTTTAAAATTCCTTTCAATTTAAAAATGTTTTATTCTTCTGGATCTGTTTTAATGATCAACAACGAGTTGATACTGTAAATTTTTGAACTGAACGAATTCAAATTCCATAAGCAATGGGTTCGTTTGATGATAAAGGTACAGATTCTACAGCAAAGGTCGCTTTCTCAACGTACCTAGAGATAATTGCGATAATTATGAAACTAATTTGATCAATTGTTAACTCATCTTGAGCTAACGGTGAAAGTTTCTGTTGTTGGTGTTACAGAATATGAGAAGGCATTGTGACTACTGACTTCGAACTAAAGCACTTTTTTACCATTATCTAATAAATTTTTAATTGGTTTCTATTATGTTTTTATTTGAGTTTGCTGATACTAGAAAATGACCAAAGAATCGAAATAATTCGAAAGAAGGGATTGAAATAACCAATAAAAAAGGTTATGGCTGGCGCCTCCACCAAAATTCTGTACGAATAAATATAGTAAATATCATATTACCAATAGTTTTCATCATTATGATGTTATTTTACAATTTACTACTATTTCACACCTTCTAATGATTCATTACCGCTAATTTCTAATTATCTGTGTCTATTCTCTAGATAAAAAGTTTGAACTTTAACAGTAATCTCGCACATTTTCGCGATGCAGTTAATTACTTACGTATCGTCTTCGACGTTATTTAAAACATTAACGAGTTTAACATGGAAATTGCAGACAAGAAATTAACTAAGTTAATGTGTGAATTACAATTCCCTAATTGGTTTTGTTATTTACCATATGAATGCCCATTTTTTAGTAGTACCATTCGTGGTACTGGCTGTTATTTACAGTCAGTAAGTAAACTGACATACATTCGAAAAATGGTGTAATATTGTTATTTTACTAACTACAAGCAAGATTTAATTACCCATTATGTTATTTTAACTAGAAGATTCCGTAAAGAAAAATTAAAAACAATTTTAAGTTACTTGGTTTAATAAACACTCTGTATCGCATTTCTCTGACATGCATGTGCAGTAGGGAGTTCATGAGATGCTTCAGCTATAGAACATTTGTTTCGTTTTTCATTTGTTAAACAATCAAGAACAACAGCGAATTACAAAAGAGTCGATATTTTTCGTAGATTTCAAAACATTTCAAAATATTAATATATTATTATTAATGAATAATGAAATATTTTTTATCGCTGATTCAAAGTATGATCTTTGTGAGAACTGACTAATTTACTTGCTCTGCCTTCTACCATTTAAACCCAACTTTCAGCGTCATTATCTGATATTACGTGTACCGTGATAGGCAGTTGTTACTCAGGCTTTTGACGAAATCATGAGAACTTTAAAAATGTAGTAACCGTCAGATATTAAAATATCATAAAGAGCTCATCGCACATGAATAATAGGTGCAACTAATGATAAAAATTGTACCTTTGTTTGGTACAGGTAGGTAAAAATAATAATAATAACAAGTAACGATCGTGCAAACAATTGAAATGATTGGCGTTAGATCGTAATTTTTCAGTTAGAAACAAATGTCATTTGAATCTAGATTCTCGCTTGTTACCTACGCACTAATTGGGCATCATCGGAGGTCGGCAGTTTTCTTATTATGAGTTCCTCATTTAGAAGAAAATTGATCTATCATGTTTCTAATAGCATAATAGCAGCCGATACTTTGAAGTTTACACAAATAATTTCTTCCAATTAAGGAACTCATTATACACAGAATAATTTTGTGGTTTAGTTGGAAGAACAAGTTGATCAGTATATAGGAAGAAACAAAAATGCGTTACTTTTACTATTTTGTTTGTTGTACATACTTTCAATTGTTATAAAAATGAACTTACCTATATGGCACACTTGACTACTATAAGGCATCGTACATCTAACACTGAAAAGAAAAACAAACGATTTTTACAATAGCCAAACAAACGAAAGTTTCTTTGACAACGATATAAATACACACTGTTTTGAGATTAAGTTAACTATTTGCCTGTCCTTATCGGTTAATTAACGTTCGTGTTTTGCGAATATGTTAAACAATTAATAAACGAGAAATAGTTGGTCAATTTGTTCAGTTAATTAATTTCTTATGTGACGATAAAAAAATAGTTTCAGTAGGGTAAATCGTGACGGATATATTTCAACTTTAATATTAGGAATTATTTGATAACAATTTCAAAGGTGCTAGCGCCAAAAGGCAATTCATTATAATTTTTTATTCGCCGTCTTTTGTCTGTTCATCGTCTTCACCCACTGACATTTCCGCATTATCTGCGGTCTGCTCTCCTCATTTGGACTTCATTTAATTTCTTCTCTGTCATTGTGACATTTCGCTAGACGTTTTAATTGAATGTAAAGGTAAGGTATCTCTTTATCGCAACAATACCTTATATTCTAGATGACACAACTTACTATGTATATATGTAGCATCGTATAATACTTGTTGAGAAACCGGATCTTCATTTAATCCAATCTTCTTTTGACTCTCTTTCTCTTTTAGCATCGTAATATGATACCTCATCCCAGTGCATTTAATTTTTAATATCTAATACCTACAATAGTTAATCTACCTAAAACATTACCAAAACTATGCAATTACCTACAACGGATTACGCATTTCTAAATTCAGCAATATCATTTGTTTAAATTATTTGTTTATTACATTAGTTACCTTTAAAGCTTCCAATTTATGAATTCTATTAATTTTAGTTTTATGTTTTAATTGCCAGATGATGTAAACTTTTATTAAAATTCTTAGTAAAAAAAAACAATCAACAATCTACCTAAGTAACAAACAAATTAAACATAGGCCACTTAAAATACTTCAGATGTTCAAGAACTGAAACAATTGACGTCTTCCTGTGGTGGTTCGCTTTTGTTTCAAGGATAATATTAATTTGTTTATTCCGGAGCGCATACCATCTTGATTTTCCGTATAATATGCTGCGAATATTATAATTTTAAGCAATAAACAAATGAATACTGCCTGTTCCAGGAAGTAGATGTAAAAGGAAGCTATATAACGACTTCTTGAAACACCCCTGTATATATTCATAGTTTTCTTTATAATTTTTGTATTTTTATAAGATGTTGAATTAGATGATTAGGATTTTCTATGTTCTTTTTTTTTATGTGACGCTGTATATTGATATTGTTACATTTGTAGAATTTCGTAACTGGTTTAAATGTCACAATTCTATTTAAAACAGCAATAAAGTTATTGGATAGGTACTTTTACAATTTTAGTTTTCTATTTACGTTAATTTGTTATTATATAATACAGTTATTGTAGTAAATAAGTTGGTGCACACATAGATATATATACAATATAATTAGCTTATAACGACAATTTTGTTGGTATGAAATTAAAATTGAGTATAATATATAAGTACTTATAAAAAATGAAAGTGCAGAGATGTTTCAGGAAGTGTTATNATTGTAATAATTAAGAAACTTGAAATAATTTTTAAAGAAACGTGTCAAAATTGAGATTATTACGAGTTAGTTAATAAATTCTACTAATTCTACGGTAAATTCAGTCATTTACAATGGAAAATTCTAATTTTTCCGTTGTCATAAAAATTTAATTTTCACCGTATGAATTCGTTTGTTTGTTACTATTTTACACCTTAAATATTCAATCGATTAACATGAAATTTTGTACATACATTGTCAGGGGTACACAAAAGGACATAGGGTGCCTTTCATCCAGAAAGAAAACACAGTTCCTATGGGACAGAAAAATTAGTTTTATGTGATCGTCTATGATCTTTGGCACGCTAATAATAAATAATGTAAACTAATGTTAAGATGGAATAATAAAGAAAAATAACAAACTTTTGTCAAAATCTTTTAGGGCTTTATTCTATAGTCAATCCGGCCGTGCCCTATACAAACAATGATCGCCTATAGGTGCACTATACATACAATTAACTAATTGCAATATTTAAACAATATATAATAATACCGACCTTTTGGAGTTAACTACGTCTACGTATTAAGTTTGTTGTGTGCCGTGTATTGTTGACGATAAATTGTTGATCCTAAATGCCAGTATCACTTGTTTCGCAATTAAAAATTTTTGTATGCAACTGACATCGTCCCCGAAACCTTATGCTAAATGCCTTCAATAAATTATGCAAACGCAAGATGACACCTTGCACTTTTTCGTTCATAAAAAAAAAACTGGCCATCATCATCAGTTCCAAAAATAAAAATATCATCTATACTGTCCATTATGAACAACCGATTGCAAATTGCAAAGTGTGATGACACGATACAGTGTTAGGCAAAAATAATGTATCTTATTGATATATATATAGAAAGACTATGCACGGAGAAAATAAAACAGGAAAATTTACCTAAATATTAATGTAATTTATCCCAATTTATCCCACTAGCCCGTTGCTTCGTAAGCAAAAATATAAAAACAAATTTGATCCGACTTTATTAAAACAGAAGACACACGAGACAAGCAGAAACAGTAGGTAGATGATGTGAAATTTTGTTTGTGTTTCAATTGTCATCTACGCTAAAAGCGTAGAAATTAGGTGAAAACTTTTGTGGGTCAAAATCAAGGCTTAATGGTGCAACTCAAATATTATCTAACTACTTATAAGTACTAAGTCCTGCGCTCACCACCGTTTTTGCAATGAAAGAGACGACTCTAATGGTACAATTCGCACGTTTGAACAAAAGCATTTCCAAATTAATTGCTTATTGTTTAAAATTAATTTTTAGTCCACTCTCTAGAGGTGGTACCTGAAGAAGGCCAAAAATGAGAATCTACAAAACACAGCGGCATCAAATAGAGTCACTCTTTCACGAATTAATACAAATTATGATCAAAATTACAAAACTTTATTCGATATTTAGTCTTGCGTCTTGAAAATTTCATATTAGTTGAACTTGTAAATAATATAATAATTATTGTAATTGCAACTGGTATTTCTTAGACTAGTAATTAACAATTTTTATAAATGTTTTATTTCATTCTCATTCGTCTTTTTAAAAAACAAAATTATAACGACCATTTGATAGTAAATGTAATTGGCAAAAGCAATATCCAAGACAAATGAGAATCATTTTACTCCATCTTATGTTACCAAACAAACCGTTATTTGTTATTATTTTTAACAACGACTTTTTCTTCTTATAATGATTACACGTTGTTGCAATTGTACTGGTAAATATCGGCATTTTTATTGATCGTGACAACATTGAAGCATCAATCGTGTGAATGACTTTTCTCGCTAGCCCATGATGGGAAACGGTGATGATGGTTGCGCAGAAAATGAAAAACAAAACACGATTTCCGTAATGAAACAATTTTTCGTAAAAGTCAGTCCTACAGCGCTAAATCGGACCAATGGTGTACGATTTTTATTTTTTATTCTAACTTTTACTCTACTTTTAAATTGAAGGTCGTAGGTACATCAAGGATCCTCTCTATCAAAGATTTATTTTAATGCATCACGAAATATTTGTAAATATCCGAACAGTTTCCAATCGTCCATTAAACAAAAGCTCTGATGATGATAGACAGTTGAATTATTAAATCAATTAAGTATTCAATTAAATTAAGATTGACCTACATCAATGTACAGGTTAATAAATACATCAATTACGGTAATACACAACAGCAACAGTAGAGCCTCTTTGTCTGAGATCATAGAATAATATCTGCAAACATGAAATTTGCATGTATTTATTAGCGCTATTATTAACTCATGTCTTGGGTGATGTAATATGGTACCATCCATGCTATAAGGTCAAGGAAATTGAAAGGGATTCTCAACACCATCACGCCTAAAACAAAACCTAATCTTTTGGGACATTTTATTTAATTTAATAGCTAACCACTGCCTAAAAACAATTTTTTCTGTTTCGTTTTTGTTTTTCTTTCTTTTGTTGATGTAAAATCGGTTAACTGTAACTCGTTTGTTTTCTGCGTTATTTTTAAAGTCATTACCCTCAAAGAAAACGTTTTTTGCATTATTTACACCTTCATTAATAACTCATTTAATTGTAACTGACGCAGATAGATTTAAAAAAGCTGTTAATGATTAACTAAAGTGTTATAACTCTCCTGAATGCGAACGTCAATCATTAAGTCATTCATTTATTGACTAATACACCCAAGTACAATATTGTATGCAATTAGTCTTGTTCTACAGCACATCCTGCAGTCGTGGGATTCTCTCTCTCCCTCTCTCTCCCTCTCTCAAAATTCTTTGTTAATCGGCCGTTTTCTTCTGTTATTAATTGTTTATATTTTTGATAGCTGTCACGCCGGCCAAGTCGAATTCGACACAGTCAAACGACTGCACAAATAGTTTGCTAATTTTGCCCTGTTGAGCAACAATTTGGAACTGCATGGGTAAAAGTACGCTTGGAAAAAGTTCTGATGGTATATGTGAGATAATAATATACCTATTTCGTTCACATGTGGCTCCAAAATAGTCTGCATACTTACTCCGAGACCACTTTTAGTAGGAAATGTCGCAGACGCTAGTTTTTATGTAACAGGGTCATTGATACTGATCCACAATCGATATTTGGAGACCAGTTTAATTAATGCACAATTCTAGGCAGTTAGATTTATGATAAAAAGGAACAATATTTCGAACATCTAAAATTAGTAGAAATAATATGGCTTTCTATGTTCTAAGCACTAGCGGCTAATTGTGAACCGAATATAGGGATGTTGTACAGGGAGACATCATCTTTTTTGAATAATATGACGTACATTTATATCTCCACTTTTTCCTATCCTTAGTTAACTTTTGGATTTTGGAATCTACCTCTACTCCTCTTAACTCCTGTTTCTGCCTCTAATATGTCTCTGACTAGCCCTTCATGCCTGAGAAGGTGTGCTACCAACCTATA